TCTATATCTATGAGTCTCTTCTGTTTTGTCCCCTTCCCTGTTTTTATATTACTTTTGTTCCCCTTCCCTTATGTTCATCTGTTTTGTCTCTTAAAGTCCTCATATGAGTGAAGTCATGATTTTTGTCTTTCTCTGACTAATTTCACTTAGCATAATATCCTCCCGTTCTATCCACGTAGTTGCAAATGGCAAGATTTCATTCTTTTTGATTGCCGAGTAATACTCCATTGTATATGTGTACCACATCTTCTTTATTGATTCATCCCTCGGTGGATATTTGGGCTCTTTCCATACTTTGGTTATTGTCAGTAGCGCTGCTATAAACATTGGGGTGCATGTGCCCCTTCAAAACAGCACACCTGTATCCTTTGGGTAAATACCTAGCAGTGCAATTGCTGGGTTGTAGGGTAGTTCTAGTTTTAATTTTTTGAGGAACCTCCATACTGTTCTCCAGAGTGGCTGCACCAGCTTGCATTCCCAACTGTTCTCAGTTTTTTAATGAAAATGGCCTTCAAGTCAAAGAAGTTGTAGAATTATGTGTGCAGCTTTCTGATTTGTCTGCATTTGGGCCCTTGAAGTCCAGGGTATTCATTCAGTAACCACCTGTTCCACCCTTGTGATGCTGACCAGGTGCTGTGCCGGGTGAAGAATAGAGACCCTTTCCTCGCACGGCTCCTAGACAGGGAGAGAGTGAGAGCACTGAACTGTGGCCATGACAGTTGGGATAAGGGACAGTTAAAGGGGATGATAAGGGGATGTTGATAAAGGGACAGGTAAGGGGATGTTAAAGAACTAGCGTTGGTTGGATCTGATGATAGGTTAGTTGAATGGAAGTAATGGGACAGGATCTACAGGTTGAACTTAAGCATGGTCAGTACTGTTCACTGAGATAGAGGTGACAGGAGGGTGTAGCTTCAGGCAAGTGCAGTGTGGGGTTAAATTTGGTTCCAGTCATCTGAACTACAAGGCCAGAGTGGAGTTGTTTTTCACGGATTGTGAAGGACTTGGAAATTGTTGAGGGAGGAAGATTGGGAAGTAAATAGGAAGGATAAGTCTAGTAAAAGTTAGAACAACTAGAGCGTGTCACCAAAACTAGAGGCCCTAAATAGGAATCTAAGAAGGGTGGTGTGGAGGATCAGAACCAGAGCTAGGCACCAGTTTGAGTATAATCAGGGAGTACATACGTAGTCCAGGGCAGCTAACCTGGAACTGCTACCGCTGGTTTACCCTCACGTGACTGCCTCATGTTAGTAGAGTGGTGTAACCAGATGAAATGAGCCTCTAATGAGTATGAAGCGATATGGGTTTTGAAAGGGGCAGCGGGAAGCTGAGACGCCAAAAAGATATAGCCTCTGTGCCCTAGCTGTGAGCAGCCTTGCCCTGAGAGCTGCAGGGAGGGTCACCCTTGGAGAGGCCAAGTCAGTAAGACAGTACCTCAAGGGCACCATGAGGAGAGATTCTGGATATAGGGTTTTCCTGTGGAACAGAGGTCCCAGAAGGCCCAGGAAAGGAGACTGCAGGGGAGAAGAGAGAATAGAGAAAGTACTTTGGGGGCAGTTTTCAGTGAGTGGTACTGAAGAGATTATTTTGCTCCAGGTTCTACCTAGAGCAGTTTAACGAAGCGTACAGAGCTTGGACGGCAGCGCACAGAAGCTGCACCTTCCAAGAGGGCGTGGAGGCGTCTTCTGTGTGGAGGGCAGAAGGCCTGTGATGGGCAGTGGCCGTGCTTGGAAGGAAACTGGTGCCTGACTCTGGTGCCCGGGCTAGTTAATTCAGAGGACCTGTAGTTTACAACAGCAGTAGTTCCTGGGACCACCTTCAGATCTTAAGGGGTCATGGGGGGCTGGGGGGCTGAGCCATTGTTTGCTTCAAGTTGTATGTAATTATAACCGAGTCTTAGAGAGCTGAGAGTGCAGTATAGGTGTTAGTGTTTCTCTCACTGTATACACACAGGTAAACTTCTGCATGTGTTATATATATAATTAAACTTGTTTTTTACAGAGTTTGTGGTCATCAAACCTCCAGATCTTTATGAAAATCTAGCTAAAGAGACTTCTGTGTCTTCACAGGATTCCACAGCTGCCCCTTATGCATTTCAGGATGATCCTTATCTCATACCAACGTCCTCCGTGGAATCTGTGAGTAATTCCATGTAGCTTTTCTAGCATTATGTTTTATCTTGCTTGTTTGGGTTGAAGCACGCGTATGTAATTTACCTTATTTGTAAAAATTTTTGAAAAGTTAACAGATGCTGATAGGTAATTCAGTAGACTTTCTGAATCCCTTACTACTTTTTAAAAAAGTTTTAGAAATGGGCTGTGGAAAGGTTTTGGGTTTTAATAATCAGGGCTCTTTTGCATTGGAACAGTCCACTTGGTTTCAGTGCACTGGTTTTATGTTCCGCAAGCTGTATATAAGATGTGACCTAAAATGTCACACTCAGTAGCAGAGAAATAGTACGTGATTTAACTTGTATTTGGGTTTCTTTGTATTGTTGCATTCTTTTTTGAGGGGGTAGATAATTCTTCCTGAGGGTGTAATTTTGATCTTGAGTCTAAGTTACATGTAAATGCCAATTTCTATCTGATTCTTTTTTTTTTTTTTTTTATAGCGTTCATTTTTATTGGCAAAGAAATCTGGAGAGAATGCAGCAAAGTTTATTATTAATTCATATCCCAAATATTTTCAGAAGGACACAGCTGAACCTCATATACCGGTAAGGAGAGGTAATTGTGATTTTTCAGTTAATACTATGTAGATACAAGTTAAACCAAGTTTTCATAGCTGCTTTTGAGTAGCCATTTGAATGTCCTCAGTATTCAGGTGAAGTATTTAGTTAGTTAATTATGTTTTTATGTATTTTGAAAGAGAGAGAGGCAGGGGAGAGGCAGAGAGAGAAGTAAAGAATCCTAAGCAGGCTTGACATTGTTAGTGCAGAGCCTGACAGGGAGTTTGAACTCACAAACGGTGAGGTTGTGACCCGAGCCGAAACCAAGAGTTGGACTCTCAACAGACTGAGACACCCAGGTGCCCCTGTGATGAGTACAGTTATCTTTGCTCACAATAATCTTTTTTTTTTTTTTAAGCTCCTGTATGTGTTTGTTCCCCATCCTGTTTTCCCTGTTTGGCTACTGTGACACCAGAATCTTAGATCTTTATCTCTGTGACTGTTCCTTTTCAGTTTCCTTCAGTAGCTTTTCTATGCCCCCGCCCCCCCCCTCCCCCCCCGCCTTAAGTGCTGACGTCGTCTTCGGTTTCCATGCTCAGCCATTTTCTTATTCCTGTCTGCAGTCTTCCTGCTTCAGTGGCCCTTACATCCCATTCTTGTATATCTGGCCCAGATCCCTCCACTTTGATACTGTAGTGTCCTGGTTCCTCTTCAGAGTAAACCTTCTGCCTTTTTCTTTGAACTCCGAATTGTATTTCCAACTACCTCTTTGTTCTGTAGTCCTAAAGAGTGAGCATTGTGGAGGGTGTGTTGTGTGCTGTTGTCACAGTGGTGAGGGGAGCAGATGTGCCTCTGCCCTCCTGGGTTTATTAGTGGAAATAGTAACCTCAGACTCCTGTCCCAAACAGCTTTCTTCCCTAAACACATGCACCCACACACAACCCTCCTGCTTCTCCAGCAGCAACTCCTAGTGACATATTAGGAGGTCATTGCGATTGTATAGGTAAAAATGCTGAAATCCTGGCCCAACCTTTCCCCGTGTGTTTAACTAGCAGTTAACGTTTCTGTGCTTTTTAGCTCACTTTGACTTGAAGCCTTCCATGGGTCCCTGCCTCCCTGGCAGGCAGCACTCTTATACCTCTGAGATCTCCCATCATTTACCATCACATTGCACTGTAATTATTTCTTTCTTCATTAGATTGGGAGAACCTTAAAGGCAGAGAATTACTTTCATCTCTGTGTCTCCAATGCCTAGCTTCATGCCTGGCATGAAATCGTCAGCATTCAAGAAGTATTAAAATAAACTAGTGAGTGAGGTACAACCAACATACTTTGGTGATAGTGAATGTTTATAGAGTAGAAGCAGCATCAGGGATGAAAGATTTCTGCCTCTGCAAACCAGGTGTACTGTGACACTTACTTTTTTAGAGAGAGACCGCGAGTGGGGGAGAGGGGGAAAGAAAATCTTAAGCAGACCTGTTGCTCAGCATGGAGTCCAACACGGGGCTCGATCCCATGACCCTGAGATCATGACCTGAACCAAAATCAGAGTTGGGCACTCAACTGACTGAGCGACCCAGGCACCTCAGTACCCTGACAGTTTTAAACAAGGTCGGGAAGAAAGAAGAAAGGGTGATTTCAGTAGAGGACAGAGGTTCAACTTGAAGTTGGGGAAGTTGGAAACAGGATTCTTCAGATATGGATTAAATATTTATTTTGGGGTGCTTTTAAAAATTCTCCCTGAGCTGGGAGATAGCTAAATGATCTTGTTTTATGTATTGGAGGGCTTTGATACTTTTTTTCAGTTATATTCCCAGCTATATAATTCCCTATATTCCCTATATATATTCAGTTATATTCCCTACGAGGTGTACACGTGTACCTGGTCCATGAAACATGAATTGGGATGGTGAAGTTTTATTTTGGTGTTTTGGTGATAAAAGTTCAGTCCTGCTAAGTTCTTTCCCCTTTAGCTGTTTGTGGTAACATTAGCCATCTTCTTTTCCTAGTGTTTAATGCCTGAGTACTTTGAACCTCAGATTGAAGGTATAAGTGAAGCTGCCTTAAAGGAAAGAATCAAGCTCAAAAAAGTCAGAGCTTCGGTGGACATGTTCGATCAGCTATTACAAGCAGGTGACTCAGTTCATTTAAAACACCTCTAGGAACATGGGCTTGAAAGTGGGCTGTGGTTTATGTGATCGTGCTGGTTTTGAGTACAAGTTACAAGTATCTCTGATGATGTTTATGTTTTTAAGAGTTTAATGATATTTCCAGTCCTGCTTTAGCTTTATTTTTTGAATTATAAGTGAGATGGAGCTGTAACTTAGTTTATTGTGCTCTTCGGCTATATTGTGTTGGCAAGTAGGGAAATTGTATAGCCATTCTTCCTTGGCTTCTGTTTTTAATTTCTGGCATGTACATATTCAGGTTTCTTGTACTCTTTAAGTATGTATGGAGGCATAAAACAGACAAGGAAGGAATATTTAAAAAGGAAGCGCTAAATTGGGATATTGATTCTAGCTCTGACACTAATTAGCCCTGTGGCTTTGGAAAAGTCACTTAGTTCCTCAGAACTTCTGTCTCTAAAATTTTGGCTCTCTGAATTTGATCTGGATGAACCTCTGGTGGTATAGATCCAGAATGCATGACTTGTAAACTACCAGGAGAATGTACCTATAATAACATCAAAGGCAGCAGCATTGTAAGTTTATGGGCTTCAGGATGTTGTTCAGTGATTGAGGATAAAAACCAACCAGACATAGAAGAGATCGAAACTGAGTTGAATTGCTCAGTACATTCTTGAACACAACAAGAAACATTTGCAGAAAGGTGTGTTTGAGAGTTCTGGTGTGTAGCCTGCTGTGGCATTGGATGTACGGATGAATTGCTGATGCACGTTATAATTTAGGGAGCCTTTTCCCTCTGCTTGTTGAATATGATAAATGTCTGGTAAGTGAAGTTCTTGGTGCCCAGGCCTGTTTTCCTCTAGTTTTATACACTGTGGAATGGGCACATGCAGACATTCAGTAAAGACAGTGTGTCAGACCCACAGCTCAGAGTAACAGAACAAGCCAATATGCCATGGGATGGATTAGATGAAGTTTTACTATCAAGCCCCTAATAAGTACCAAACACTTTGCTGGGCATTTCACATGCTTAATTTAATTCTATAACATCTTAGGAGTTGCTGTGTTTTATAATAATTCTATAAAGGAAACATTATTAGGTAATTTTTCAGGGATATACAGTTCTGAGATAGTAAAATCCAATCCATTTACCCTTCATAGCCTCGGTTCTCTCCACTCTGCTATTTTCTACACTTTTAAATTCCTAATGGGCATTTTTATATCAGTATATTTTCTTTAGGAAAATGAGGGTACTTTTAAAATACTCTATTTCATACTTTTTCCCTTTTTTTCTTAGTGTCAAGATGAAAGCATGTTTTTGAGTTTTTTTAAAAGCTATTATTGAACATTTAGGCTAGTATTTCTAGGCAGGTATTCCAGTGAGGGCCTGGATCCAAGCGGAATAGTTTTGCTTGCATTTGTAAAAATGGAACTGAACCAGGGGAACTAAGTGGCAGTAATTTGCAGAGTGTTCAGTTTGGAGACCGTAGTTAAAACCATGAGCTAGTTTCTCTGGAGAGACGAGTATGTAAAATAAGTGAGCACACACAAAGGTCAGGCTTTGTCTTGTGTTTTAGTCTCTCATGTCAGATCACACAGTAGGGATGGTGTCCCTGTCTGCATCACTCCAGGTGTTTGAGTTGATGTGGAGTGCATACTCATGCATTCTTAGGATGGTGGTTGCCACTATATACGTAGGCAAGAAAGTCACAGGTTATAGAAAGTGAAGAATTTTAATCCAGTGAGCTTTAGTTCTTTGATGTTTTAAAGTTTTTTCCCCCTTTTTCTTCTACCCACAGGAACTGCTGTATCTCTGGAAACAAGTAATAGTCTCTTGGATTTGTTGTGTTATTATGGTGACCAAGAGCCTTCAGCTGATAATCATTTTCATCAAAGTGAAAAATCAGAAGAATTGGTAATGGCTTTTGGCAGTGATTCTTAAAATTTCTTTTGGTAGTAATTTCATGTCAAAGTGAGGCAAGTTCTTATGCCTTATGTGTTAGGATAGTAGAGATTTGTTCTGAGATGTGATGTGGTATACTAGCTTTGATAAAAAGTGGTATGGAGGAAGAAATATTTAAACAATTATTTTAATTTCGGTTCCCTTCTTAAAAATATTTTGACCTTGCCTTCCGCATGCAGCTAAAGCTTTGACCAGAAATGTTTAGGAAGCCCCTCTTTTACTGTTACGTACAGTGACCACATGATGTGTAAGGAACAGGGAAAGACCCCCTGATCCCAGTCCCCTCAAAAATGCAAACATATGTGGGCATATAGTGAGCATATATGCTGGGGGTATATAGAACAGGATTGTGCCAAGGGCTGGCCTGTTGATAGTCCTATCTGACTTCTCAACCCAAGAGTTTTACTTCTGGAAAAAGATCCCAAGGGCACCCCTGGGTCCTGTGCACAGAGATTATATACCTCATTTTTATAATGTATTCATACTTAAAATTGCAAAAATGTGGAACACAGGCTGGATGTCCAATAGCATGTGACTGAACTGTGGTATTGTGCGTTGAATTAGTGTTAGACATTAGATCCCATACCCGGACATGTCCTTTCTTGCTTTTACCTAATGAACAATATTTCTATGTGGGCCAAGCCAGATACAGCCAGATCAAGCCAGGCTCTGTTGTTTGGCTTTCCAGTTTCTCCCTCTGGGCTAGGCTGTACAGGGTAATGACTTTATCTCTTCTCCAGGCTGTCATTTCTTGCTTTAAGGGCCAGCTTTACTTTGCATCTCTAAGTGAACTGATTTACGCTTTAGGAATTATCAATTTTTTAAATGAACATTTAGTGGAGTTTTCCTTCACCTTCTGTTGGATCTGTATTTCTTTTATTTTTCTAAAGTTTCCTTCGCCTTTCTGTTTTTAAGTATTCTAGGCTAGGAAAATGCATTCTGCTGTCATATTTTATTTCTGTTGATGATGGTTCATTTCAGGAAGAGGCCATAGAGGAAAATAATGAAAAATCTAAGAAGGCTGGCCATCAATTTGGAGTTACGTGGAGGTATGTTACCCATCGTTAAACCTTGTAGTGGGGTTTCCATTTGTGCATGGAATGTTTCCTGTCATCCCCTCAAGATACGCTCCTATGGTTTTCTAAGATATTTGTTTTTAGCATACAATATAAATATCACAATTGGTACTCCTATGTGTTTAGACCTCATTTCATAAGATCTTTACTTCTAACCAGCAGTATGAGGTTGACACTTCATTCTCCACCCCACCCATTTAACTTCATGTCCCCTTTACATGGTATTGGTTCCTTGGGTAGTTTCATCAGTGTCCTTCTGTGCAATATATACCTGTCACTCTGAAAGATTGGATAATTTGTTTACATAAGAATACACATAACACAACAGTGTAGTTCTAAATGAAGATTGCTGGTCAGCAAGCAGAAATACTCAACATTTCCAAACAAAAGGTGAGTAACATTTAACATTTGAGAAATTTAAGTGAGTAGGAATGTTTGAGTAAAAGAAAAGTATTTCACAGGGACATCTGGAGGAGGAAAGTTACTATTAATATCAAAAGTCTTTTTGGAAGTGTTAAATAGAATCCGGTATTTTAATAATTTTCCATAGTAGTTAAGAGCATGGACCTTGGTATATCATCCTGGCCCAAATCCTGGTTCTGATTTCCAGGACCTATTTGTAAGAGACAGAATCAAGGTACAGCATAGTCTGTATAACATGGATTATCTTTATTCATTTATTTGTTTAAAAAAAAATTTTTTTTTTTAACGTTTATTTATTTTTGAGACAGAGACAGAGCATGAACGGGGGAGGGTCAGAGAGAGAGAGGGAGACACAGTATCTGAAACAGGCTCCAGGCTCTGAGCTGTCAGCACAGAGCCCGACGCAGGGCTCAAACCCACGGACTGCGAGATCATGACCTGAGCCGAAGTCGGACGCTTAACCGACTGAGCCACCCAGGCGCCCCTATTTGTTTTTTTAAAGGAAGAAGAAGAGTAGATATGCCAGAGTGTGACATGTGCACAGGCTAGAATACAATAGATTCTGGAGAAACTACTTGCCTGTGGTTGCCTCTGGGGAATTGTATATGGTTGAAGGAATGTGGGGAAACTTCACTGTGTACTCTTTGCACAGTTGGCTTTTTTATTTAGTGTTGAGTATATATTACTTTTTTGTAAAAGTTCTGGTTCTGTCACTTAACCTGCCAAGCCGTGGACAACTTGAGGTTTTGGAGCCTCAGTTTTTCCCATTTTTCAGAATGATAACCATGTCTTTCATGCACGTGGTGGTAAGAATTTTATGTGTATAAAGTGCTTGGCACAGTGCTTGGAACATTGTAAACTCAGTAAATTGTGGTAGCTGTTGGTTTTTCCAGTTTCCCTGGTTGACTATTCTTCCTGTGTCTAGGGCAAAAAACAATGCTGAGAGAATCTTTGCTCTAATGCCAGAGAAAAACTCACATTCCTACTGCACAATGATCCGAGGAATGGTGAAGGTAACATGTATTTATTTCTGTACTATTGTCTTTAATTTCCACTGAGTCAGGAATTTTTACTCTCAGAACTATTGTTCACTGGGCCAGAAAATTTGTTGTCTTGGGGGCTCTCCTGTGCATTGTAGAATGTTTAATACTTCCCTGTTCTCTACCCAGTGCATGTCAGTACTGCATCCTCCCCAGCCCCCAGTTGTGATAACTAGAAGTATCTCCAAGAATTACCAAATGTCACCTGGGAAGCAAAATTGCCAGGCAGTAGAGTATGAACTTCATGAGAACTGAGACTTTGTTTGTTTTGTTTATTACTGTATCCCAAGCCCTAAAACAGTAGACATTGCAACTGTTTCTTAAGTAAACAAGTTGGATGATATTTAAGTTTTATCCTTACTGTCTTCCAGCACCGAGCTCTTGTGCAGGCATTAAACTTGTACACTGAATTACTAAACAACAGACTCCATGGTAAGTGTGTTTGGAGAATTTCCCTCCCTCCTTCCTTTTCTTCCCTTAGGAGTCTGTAGATCTTTGAATCCATGAAATTTTTGCATCTTGCCTCAATCATGGGCTCACTTTTAACCTTGTGGTATTGGTGGTAAAAGCAGGAGGAGAGTCCCAGAGAAGGGAGAGAGTGTCTCGTTTTGTGAGCACATGGTAACAAGCCAGGAGCCATATGTGCATTACTGCTTTGCCTTAAACTAAGCTATTTAGGGATAAGTCTTGAACCCAAATTTTGTTAAGGTGGTTTTCCTGTTTTACAGCTGATGTGTACACCTTCAATGCATTGATTGAGGCAACAGCATTGAGCATGAATGAGAAATTGGAGGACAAATGGAATAAGATACTGGTAAGGGGAAACCGTCATTTTGTCTCCTAATACGCCTAAAGTATCCTTTCCTAGAAATACAGGGGGTAGAGATTGAGCATTTTCATGGCAGATACTGCTCTGCTGGGTACTCAGCGGTTACTTGTTTATGCCCTCCTAGCAACCCTGTAGTTTAAATAACTGTGTCTTATACGTGAGAAGAAAAAGATACTAGACGCAGAGTCGATGGCTAGAATTCACAAACACCTCTGTTGCTTTATTTCTCATAGTATGTAGTGTTTTTTATTACAAACAATGCATATTTCCTGAAACATTTATATCTGGTAAGTTTGAAAAAACTTACTTGGGTTGTATTAGGGATAAAAATATTTTTGTTTTTATACCATACTGTTCATTTAAAAAAGGAAAACAGGGGCGCCTGGGTGGTGCAGTCGGTTGAGCGTCCGACTTCAGCCAGGTCACGATCTCGCGGTCCGGGAGTTCGAGCCCCGCGTCGGGATCTGGGCTGATGGCTCAGAGCCTGGAGCCTGTTTCCGATTCTGTGTCTCCCTCTCTCTCTGCCCCTCCCCTGTTCATGCTCTGTCTCTCTCTGTCCCAAAAATAAATAAACGTTGAAAAAAATAAAATAAAAAAGGAAAACAGCCCGGTTCATTCTAGTCTACGCTTTTGCTTTATGAGGCAGGGGGCGAAGACATTTGGACACCTTGATCAAGCGAGGTGCGATGACTGAATAGAGTGAGTTCTCTAAAAGGCAAAGTCACTGGCCCTGCTAACTAATAGATAATTCTTAAATTAGGAATATATTTATTAAATTACTTTAGATCTAGCCAGAGAATCAAATTATTTTTTAGTGTGTAATATTGGTTTATTGGACAAATTACCTACCCAGGCATAAACAAGACTTAACACTTGGATTTATCTAGGAGCTGCTGAAAGAAATGGCTGCCCAGAAGGTGAAACCAAATCTACAGACATTTAATACCATTCTGAAATGCCTCCGAAGATTTTATTCATTTGGAAGATTGCCGGCCTTACAGACCTTTCGTGAAATGAAAGCCATCGGAATAGGTGAGTATGTGCCCTCATGTCCTCCTCTGGAGACTGGGACGATGCTGACCAGAGATCTTAGATCCAAACAAGCAAAAATAGACACTAAACTCTTTTTGCTGTGTGCGTAATATGTTGAGAATTTCTGTTCCCCCATTTGGTACATTTAATTACATGTATTTATTAACGGCGGGAGCTCCGTTATCTTCATGTTCTTTATAGCAAACTACAGTATTCTTTTAATATTTTAGGTAGTTTTCTGTGGATTTCTTTACTCTGGGGAGAATTGTTTGCTTGAGTTAACTAGTTTTAAATCCCATGACACTTGCTAGCATAATTAGGTATTTGAACCCAAATGTGCTATTGTATTATGTAGTTTTCAATAAAATTTTTTTAAATTAATTTATTTATTTTGAGAATGGGAGAGCAGAGAGAGAGAATCCCAAGCAGCCTCCATGCTTGCATGCTCCATGCTGTCATCATGGAGCCCAATGCAGGTTTTGATCTCACAACCTTGACATCATGACCTGAGCTGGAATCAAGAGTCAAGACTCTTAACTGACTGAGCCACCTAGGCAACCCTAGTTTTCAGTAATTATGAAAGGTTGCTGGGGACCTGTTCACTTTAGTATGCTTTAGTGCTCTTGAATAAAGAATCCTAGTACAAAGTACATTAGCTATAACATTTTAGTTAATATGTGTCAAGACTTTCTAAAAGTGTTTCTCACTTTAATCAAATGACGTTAATCAAATGAGCTAGGAAATATCTTCAGAGGAATAGAAATGCATCTTTTTGTTTGTTTGAAATGCATCACCTTTTATTTAAATACCAAAATCAGTGTGTTTTTAGTTAACTGTGCCTCAGGAAGCTATATTTTGGATATTTGTGTTTGACTTATTTCTTACTTTTTTCTATCCACCTGGTAATTTGAGAACCCTCACTTGCAACATACCACTATATTATTCAGCTGTTTTATCAACATGGTATGTATGACGTTATACGTGGTATGTATTAACTTTTGTAGAAAGTTGACCCAGCTCCTTTATGTTTATGTGATTAATTGTTGTGGGCTACCTTCACTGCATATGATTTAAGAATAGAGAACTCACAAATTATAGTATCCTATAGCCTTAGCAAAAAGTTATTCTTGAAGGAAGTAACCTTGTTTGTTACATAAAACTTGAGCTGGAGGGGAAATGTTATTAGTACATTAAATGTACTAACAGTGTTGATGTGCAATTAAAAATGGTCAGAAGGTGTGTTAGTCTGGAGTTTTTTTGCCTCTGTAGAGCTGTGCTTTCCAGTAAAATAGCCAGTAGCCACACTTGTTTATTTCATTAACATTAAGATTCCTTTCTTGCATTAGTACTAGGTAGCCCCATGTGACTGCTGGCTCCTGTATTCAATGATGCAGCAAGAGAACATGTCCGTTTTTACGGAGAGTTGTTGGCCATTGCTGTTCCATACCTGAGTTGAAATTTTACCTGTCGTCTCCCAGCTATGCCAGAAGGGCCTGGATACCTATCCTGATAAATGCTGTCAGGCTGTGATGATTAAGTAAACTGTGCACAGGGTCTTGTACTGGAAGGCACATAATAGGCCATCACAGGCTGTGGGTTCTCGTTTGCCCCGCCCCAACTTGAGAAAGAACCCCTGGGTTCAGAAATGACCATTCCAGTCTTTCTCTCCTGAGATGGACTTTATAAAACAACAGAGGAAAACTTGGTTGTGTTTTGGTGGGCTAATTTTACAAGATCCACACCACCTGTTGGGAAGATTTTTATCTTTTAGGGTGAGAGGAAGAGTAATTGACTTTATCTTGGAAATAGGTAGTTTCCACAATAATCGTATCTTCTAAAATTTTACTCAACCTTGGCGACACTGTAGTGAAACTAGTATTTCTGACCCCAGACCCTGTCAGATTTGTCTGTACCATCACACATCACTTGGGGTTCAGTTGCTAACCAGAGTCTGTGGTGGAACACCTGGGAACAGAGGGGCAGACACAGGGGAAGGGGGCCAGCTTGTCTTACACGTACGTAAACTGGCTACTTGCAGGAATAATTTTTCGATGTTTGTTCAAAGGAGAAAGCCTAAAAAATTAAAGGATACATATAAAATTATTATGTAACCAATAAAATGATTAGGAATGCTAGCAAATGGAAACATGCTTGAGGAAATTGTAGAAATACACCTGTACCACCATTAAAACTACATATTCACTTATGTGTGGATAACGTAGGGAACAGATTTGGATGAATAGTGGGATATGTTTGGGAATCGTGTAGATGCGTTTTCTGACCTATTAGTACCACTCAGTTCATGTGATTGTAAAAGGATTGCCTATGTCCGTTATTTCTACTGTTTTTTCTTGGCTTTTTCATCTTGATTATACTTAAAAGCACAAATGATTACTGGCAAAAAAAAAAACATGTTTGTTTTTCTAAGTAGGCAGTCTTGGTGAGGTTGTATGTTTCCCGTTTCAGTGAAAGTCAAGTTTGAGACAAGACTGAGGAGGAAGGGAAAGTCTCCGCTGGGAGCACATAGACGAAGACCTGTGACTGTCCCAGATCGGAGAGTTGCACCCTGTACTGTGAACCTCTCCTTTAGCAAGCACGTGCCCCTGCCAGCTGTACACCGTGCCATGTGCTGGGGCAGAGGAGCAAGTGTGGCCCTTTGTGCCAGGTGCTGTGTGGTTGCTAGTGGTACAGAAGGAGAGTCCTAATAAGACCTGTGTGCTTTTGTATTCTGCAGAAAACCCTTCAAAAGGATCATCCCTCATAATCTACGATATTATGAATGAATTAAAAGGAAAGAAATTTTCCCCAAAGGACCCAGATGACGGTATGCACAGAATTGCTTGTGTGAGACAGCCTATTTTCTTGTCAGTGATTTAGAGGCCTTGTGATGAGGACAGGGTTTAATTTAAAGTGTGTTTATTTATTTTGGGGGGGAGGCAGAGAGAGAGAGAGAGAGAGAGAGAGACTCCCAAGTAGGCTTCACACTGTCAGTGAGGAGCCCAGTGCTGGGCTCAGACTCAGCATCATGACTGAGCCAGTCTGACACTTAACCATCTGAGCCCCCCATGCGTCCCAGAGGACAGGTTTAACTTAGCTTAGTTACCTTACGGGTGGTTATTCTGAGGAATCCAAAACGTGTGGCACGTTGCTGTATACTTCCCCCTATGGTTTTTATTCCTTCAGGTTTAACTTACACATTGACAGTTGGGTCACTAGGGTTTTTATTAATGCTGCTCACTTAAAAATATATTTTATCCATTGTAACCAAGACTTTGTGAACTTTGATTTTCAGATATGTTTTTTCAGTCAGCCATGAGAGTTGTAAGTACCGCTTCTTATTTTTTGCTTTCCTTTATCCACTTCTTAAATTCATCTGTAACTGGGGTTGGAAGGTGAGGGGGAGGGGCTTTTCCCTGATTATTTTCACTTCCTGAGTTTTCTGTTTATGTCTTAGATTCTGATTTTTTTTCTTCTTAAATTCTATACTAACTCACATAGCACCTCTACCCTTTGTTGTATACATTGTTTTTTTTTTTTCACACCTCTGTTCAGATAAGATTTCAGGGTATTTCATATTTTCCTATTGATGGCCTTTTATTTTTATTTTTTTTTTAATTTTTTTTTTCAACGTTTATTTATTTTTGGGACAGAGAGAGACAGAGCATGAACGGGGGAGGGGCAGAGAGAGAGGGAGACACAGAATCGGAAACAGGCTCCAGGCTCTCTGAGCCATCAGCCCAGAGCCTGATGGCGGGGCTCGAACTCCCGGACCGCGAGATCGTGACCTGGCTGAAGTTGGACGCTTAACCGACTGCGCCACCCAGGCGCCCCTATTGATGGCCTTTTAAATTGATGACGGTTGTTTTGAATTCTGGTTTTTCATTTTATGCTCATCAGCGGACGTGGATTAGCACATCCTGTTCCCTAAGGATAATGCTTTCTAAAAGTTTAGTGTGTATCCTTGCAGGTTTTTTCGTTAGGTGTTCAGACATACACAGCCAGATACATTTCCGTGGTATTTTGTTTGCTGATAGCAACATAGTATTTCTAGGCGGGAGGGACTACAGTGTACTTAACTCTTCTCCTATGAGTGGGTTTTGGAGTTACTTCATGGGTTTTTTGCAAATACAGTGATGCTGGAGTGAGCATTCCCATCTGTTTTTATGCACATGATCAAGTGTTTTCATAGGATTGATTTCTAAAGGTGTAATCACTAGACAAAATCATTTTGTGAGGCGCCTGGGTAGCTCCTTCAGTTAAGCATCTGACTCCTGGTTTTGACTTAGGTCATGATCTCACAGTTTGTGAGAATGAGCCCCGTGTTGGGCTCTGCACTGATAGCTCAGAGCCTGCTTGGGATTCTTATTCTCCCTCTCTCTGCCTCTTCCCTTTTTGCATAATATTGTATGTATACGTGTATATGCTATATAATATAACATATGAACATTAAAAAAATTTTTAACTTTCATGGAATTGGGGAGTTTGCTTTCATTTTTTCCCTTCAGTCTTACAACTCATTTGCTGTCAACCAGTAATAAATTGAATCAGCATAAATATTTCCATAAGTAACTACACTTTTTAATGTAATGAGCCACTATTTGGTTGATAAATCTCAGAGTGATGCTTACTGCTTGCAAATTTTCAGTGCTCAGTTCTCAGAGATCTAGAACTTGCTTACCAAGTACATGGCCTTTTAAACACCGGAGACAACTGGAAATTCATTGGACCAGATCACCGGCGTAATTTCTATTAGTAAGTGTGTTAGAAATGTATCCCTTTGCATTATCGGAGCCTCTTTAAAAAGCAACCATCAGTCATTTCTGCAAGTAGGAGACTCTTGGTAGCCCTCCTATGTCATGTCTGCAGGCAGCATGCCCCTAACTTAATGGTATGTGTTAATTGAGCACTTGGAAATTGAAGCAGTGGTAAAACTGATTTGCCAGACTGAGATGTCTGGTGTGGATCTTTTAGGATATTTTTCTTTGTAACGCTTCAAACCCACGTGTCTTTTTCCTCCATGGCCTGTTTTATGTTTTTGAATATCTGGCAGGGTAGGTCCCTAAACATTTCAGCGCAGCCTCTTGTTTAAAGACGAAGATACAGAGATGAAGCCCAAAGAGGCTCCTTAAAGGAGTTTGACTTCAGGTAGATAAAAACAAGAACTGAAGGAGGCAGCCTGTTAACAGTTGTGTGGTGATTGTCTTCTGTGTGTCCATCTCCTTGCTTCACACTGCGTGCTTTGAAAGTGAATGTGGCAGACCACTCCCTGGGAGCTGAGCACGCTGAGGAGGCAGTCATGAATGGCTAGTTGTGCAGAAGAAGGTGTTGATCAGGAAGTCCAGAAAGCATAGTTAGCACCCCCTGGCTCAAGTATTGTCCCGTGTAACTTGAAATTGTTTGTTACTTACAAGTTGATTTTAAATTCTGTGTAAGATGTCATCACGTAACAATGCTGTAATTTAATCATCTGCTGTTAACGCTCTGAGACTAAAACACACCTTTTCTCACCATTACAGTTCCAAGTTCTTCAGTTTGCTTTGTCTAATGGAACAAATTGATGTCACTTTGAAGTGGTATAAGGACCTGATACCTTCAGTAAGATGATTCATTACTTATCACTGTGGATGTGCTTGTGGGTATCTTTGCTGGTTAATACTTTAAAAATACATTTGTATTTCTCTTAATCAGGTATTCTTTCCCCGTTCCCAAACGTTGATAGATCTTCTCCAAGCACTGGATGTGGCCAACCGGCTAGAAGTGATTCCTCAGATTTGGAAAGGTTGGTTTCAGCTTGTATGTCCAGGCCCATCTCATTTCATCGTCCTACATTTTGATTAACAAACGTGTTAATATTGTTAGGGACGGAAACTTCCATTTGTCACTAAATTGAATATATATGTAAGTTGAAGTCTGCTTCATGGTCCACTGGCTCATGTTGCACTGCACAAGTAAAAATGTACTGAAAGTGACTTAAATCCATTCCTTCGTGACAGGAATGGTGGAGCTGTGCATTTGTTGTGTGACATGACGGAAGATGATTGCTGATTACATGGCACGCCCTAGATTTAAATTCAGGTCCACAAACGTAATCCACAAAGCCTAGGTTCTGTGTTACTCCTCTGTATCATGCTGCATCGTTGTGACTCAGTTGTTACGAAGCCACTTGAATTTCTAAGAAGTAGGCATGGTTGTGGGTTTCTGTGTATAAATTGGCTGCAGAAGGTGCTACGTGTCCTCTGTTAGGGGACTGTGATTGCAGCATGAGTTCCTGTCAGCTTCAAGTTTCCATGTCTACTTCCATGAAGTAGAGCCCTGCCCTACTTCACAGGATTGCTTAAGTGGTTGTTACCTGTTATAAAATATCACTGATCACCAAGTGCTGTAAAAAAAAGTGTCTTATATCACACGGAGTTGGTAGCTGCTCAAGAGTAGTGCATATGCTGTGGTTCACACTTGACTTGGGAGCAGGTTACTGGCTTCCACTGCTCCTTCTGTTCTTACCATGAATTATCCTAGTGGTGTCCTGGAGGAAAGAGTGCCAGCAACTTTTTTTTACCCACCAAAAACTACAACGGTGGACAAAGGTCTGCCAAAGAGTTTTGGTATTATATGACAGTAATCACTTCTCATTATGTTCCTTTCTGTTTCCAGACAGTAAAGAATATGGTCACAGTTTTCGCAATGCCCTGAAAGAAGAGATTCTGATGCTCATGGCAAGGGATCGGCACCCACCAGAGGTAGGTATGTCCAAATTCAAGTTAGTTTACAGTAATCAGATGTGTACTGATCAGTATATTCTCAGAGGACCCTGTAAAGGTAATTTCCTTGGTCTCATCTAGGGAAACCTGGAGAGTTCTGCCACCTAAACCCAGATTTAAAGTCTACATCTAAACATACCCAACCATTAGCAGAATCTCTTCTAAAGTCATCTCATTTCTCTGGTCCAAAGTAAACAACATGAAAATAGTTTCTTTCTGCCCTGACAATAGCTTTTTTTTTTTTTTTTTTTTTTTTTTTTAAGTTTCTCTCTGAAAAGAAAACACATGTTCTTTTTGAAAGATGTGGCCAATTTGCAAATTATTTACCCCAGAGCAGGGCAGGGTGCGTTCTTTTTTCTTCACTTTGTTACTTGTGTACCATACATGTGATGTGGTCCAGTGGTAAAATGGATTGCTCAAAAATGTTAACGCTTCAGTGGAGTCTCCTGAACCCAGATTCTCATAAAACCAGTTAGGCAATTCTGCTGATTCTTAGAGCCTCTCAGCTTCAGGTGGCGTTTGCTGACTGTGCTGCCGATATCAGATCTACTTATGAGAGCCAGGATGCCAGACAGACTGCTCCTGATTGGCCAGCCAACCCTCTGAACTATATAGCTGTCCTCTTTTTAAGGGGAGGGAGGACCCAGGAAGCCTGGTGAGTACAATACCAAAAGCATAAGAAGCCATTTGTACTTGGATCTCAGAGAACATTTGCCCTGGTCACTAGAGTTTTTCTCATCTGTATGATGTGTAATCAGAAGACAAATGAGTTTTCTACATACTGTGTTTTCTCTGGGAACTGCAAATACCAACTGAAAAGGGAACTTTAGGAAGAAGACCAGTGTAAGTGTATACAGTGTATTTAAGAAAGGACATGGTTTAATGGGCTAATTTTCTCTTTCTGACCTGTTTTCTGTATTCACGGGCAAGTAAGTCACTTGTCTGTTCACTTAAATAGAGTGATCAAAGAATATTTTTGAAAACGTTTTAGGCATTTGGTTTATCCAAGTGTTTCACTTGGGCGTAGTGGCCCTACCTCCCTGCTTAAAATGCAGGTTGTGCATTTGGACTTCAGGAAACTGGCATTTATAAACATGGCCTTAACAAGAACCATCTTTGGTCTGTGTCACTTCTGTGTGTTCATCAGCACTTCATTCACATACTCATTTTTAGTATTTGTGGATGGAAACTTTACATGCGTTCCTTTTTCCAAAAGCAGAGAAGTCAACAAAAGAATACTTTGTAGGAGTGGTCATAGTTAGGTGGTGTTGCTACATTTTGTTCTGGAGAGAAATGTGTATTCTAACAGTAAGTGGAGTACATGTGTATGGCTTTTTCAACACGGGAGAGTAACTTAATTTGAACATAGGATTGCCAGCCCAAAATGTGGCCGTTCACTATGTTCAGGAAAAGCTGGTGAAGGAAGGCTTTACTGCCTACACTGGTCTTGGGAGTGTGAATCACACACACGGCCTACTACACTGCTGTGACCGAAACATTTGGCGCTCAAGTTTGTTAACTCAGGTTGACACTCGTTACGAATCAGGCTATGATGATTGGCGCAGGGGTACGGACCTCAGCTGAGTCATGGGAGCTGAATGTATGTGTTTCTCCTTTGTCCTGCATGTGGCAGGATGCTGGTGAGCACTTACAGGAGACTGATGCCTCAATCTGAGCCTGCTCTTCACAACATAATTCTAGGACACTGATCTCATTCTGGATTTTAAGAGAGGAAAGAGATCATTCTCTCTTGCATCCCTCTCTTCCAACTGCCCACGGGATGTATTCCTTCCCTGGGTGGACTGGAGTGATCCTCTAGAAGAGGATAGACCCCAGCAATTCTGAACACTGGCAGATCACATTTGCCTGGGAAACTTGACATGTACATATGTGAAGTTTGGAGGAGGGAGTTGAAGCACCCAAGGTGATTTTGATGTGAAGACAGGGCTGGGAGCGAGCAGAACTCACAGACATACATCTTCAGGGGCTAGCACTGGGAGGAGAAGAGCTATGGTCATCTGATCGCCATGTGTTCTACTTGCATTTATAATCTTGCTCCTGTCTCCTCTTGAATAGGAAAATGTTGGGGCTTTTCAGGAAGCATAATAAGATCCCTGGGTAAGTTGAAGTTAACAGGCCTGCCTGGGTACATCCTAGAATTAACTGCAGGGTCTTAACTCTTACCATGGGGTAATTGGAATTTTTTCACCTGCCTCAGCATTCTGATAGACAAGAAAATGCATAATTGCTCCCACCATCTAGGGCATCCTGAAACAAGCACTGTTTTTAGTCTGTGCTCAGTGATTGTAACACACTGGCAAGACACCGAATAGATCCTCAATGATGGCATACTGGACCAATGTTCATGATCCCTTTGGCTCTTTAAAGTTAGACTTCATGTAACTTTACCTCCAGAACTACTGTTGAGGATTTCATGACTCAACTTTATAAAATGGTAGATTTTGCACATAAATCTTCGAGGGGTTTCGTTGGGGAGTGTTGACATTTTGCCTTTCTTTTACAGAAATGAGTTGCTGGATGAGTTTATGGACAGTGCAAAAGCATCCAACAACCCTGCCCAGGCCATTGAGATAGTGAAGCTGGCCAGTGCCTTCAGCTTGCCTGTCTGTGAAGGCCTCGCCCAGAGAGTGATGGCTGACTTTGCAATCAGCCAGGAACAAAAGTAAGTCCTGCACCAATACCATAAAGGAAAGTGATACAGACCAGACTGTTTGTCCATCTACCCGTTCACTGCTTATAGCTTTCTGCCTCCTGAATTTTCTTCTTTGCAAAGTCAGTGTGTGTTAAATTTAGCTGCTTATTTTATTTGTCATAGGAGTCAGAGGCCTATAGATGTGGCTCTTGGAACCTTTTCCCTTGTCCTTATAGTTGAATGCAGCTGCAGAGTCCCTCTCCCCCAAGACTGAATTGCAGTTGTAACCTTCCAGTTTATTTTCCTCACAGAGAAGCCCTGGGAGACCTAACTTCACTGACCAGTGACAGTGACAGCGACAGTGACATCGGTGAAGGCAAATGAAAGTGGGCAAATCCGCAGCTGTGACCTAGCATAGCTGAACTGACCATATTGTAAAGAGAGTACGGATGGTGAACTTTGAATAACAATCAATACAACATGGATGGCCTGATTTAAATTCCTAATTTGATACTTACTATACCACCCATTCAAGGTTTACTACCACTTAAACGAAAGCATCACTACCATTTTCGTTTCTTCGGACACATTGTGAGGACACAGTTCCTGGTTTCAGCGCAAGCTCTGTGTCCCTGCAGTGTTTGTCAGCCAACTTGACACTGTTCTCCAGTGTGGTTCGCCCTCCCCAGGTGTGGACTTGGCCTCCGTTGGCTGATGCTGTGATGTTGGTGCTTCCTCAGTCTTAGAGGACGTGTCTGAAGGTGGTTTGCGTACGTATTACCATTGATACTGGGTCAGTATCCCAATATCAGGGATACAAAGAGATGCAAAATCGTGCATCTTCGAAACGATTAAACAATGGCAAAGGGCTGCACAAATGGGGAGATGAAGGCTGTAAATAAACTCCAGTAATGTATTTGCACGTATTTCCATTACATGGCTTTTGTTTTCCCCCAGCCATAGGACTTGCACAAGAGTGCTTCATCTCCCTTTTCTTCCCTGTGTGCTGGCACCTTTAGTTGGGCTCTACTCAAAGTCATCGAAAGTGAGGACTTGTGATGAAAAAGGACTGAAATGAAGGTTTTCTTGATGTGATTGTATTGCTGGTGATTATTGCTGGTCAAAAACCTCTACTTTTAGCATTTGTCTCACCACTGGGACTTTGAAACAGTATCAGAAGCAGCCAGGACCCTGGTTTGCAAGAGCATCCTTATCTTCACCAGGGCTGCTTCCACAGGCTGCTTTGCTCATACCTGGTCCCAGATTTACTGAGGGACCCCATGAGTTCCCCACTGATGAACAGCCTCATCCTTACCCTGCCAGAGTTGGCACTGATGGGCTACGATATTGTGTGTATATAGGTCTGTTCCCAGCTCCATTCTGCATCCTCTCTAGCCTGGACCTACTCCTCCATTCTCAGAAACCTAAGCATGGTTTCATGTGTTCTAGAATGTTCAGTTTAAGACATCTAATCGAGGGGAAACGAAGGCAGGGGAATGACACAGATTAGCTACTTAAGCATTCATGTGCATTGTCCCATTAGACTCTTGATAAACCAAGGCAAATGAACAAAAGGACAATTAAAGCAGATTAGCCTTTGATCTTGGTTTACAACTTCAAGGGAGACCTGGCTTCCTGGAAGCTTCTGTTAACTCCTTCCCATCTCACCTACAAATGCCTCGCTCTCTGCATGGCCAAATGCTCACTCATCACAATCCTTATAAATGTGGTACTTCTCCCCTTGCCAGGCCCCAGCTGAATCTTCAGCATAGTGCTTGGCAGCTAGAGTTGGTGGGACAGAGTCCCATCTGGACTGATGTCATCTGAATTTGTAATGGATTTCAGTGTACTTCAGTGGTTTTAATTGCTTCAGACTTTCAGAAAATTAGGCCTATAGGATTGGTATCCATTTAAAAAAAAAAATTTTTTTTTTTTAATGTTTATTTTTGAAAGAGAGCATGAGCAGAGAAGGGGCAGAGAAAGACGGAGACACAGAATTTGAAGTAGGCTCCAGGCTCTGAGCTGTCAGCACAGAGCCCAGTGTGGGACTCAAACTCATGAGCTATGAGATTATGCCCTGAGCCAGTCAGACGCTTATCCAACTGAGCCACTCAGGTGCCCCTCCATTCTCTCATTTTTAGATGTTTATTCACACACTAGTGAAATATTAGCCTCTAATAGTAAAAGATCTTTCCCCGTGCTGAAGTAAATAACCTAGCAATTTTTGCTTTTGGTCCTGGCTCTCCATTTCAACTTGCAGTCTGTTCTTCCTTATGATTGTCTCTAAACTTGTAATACAACTCAAGTACTGCATTCCTAAAAGGCATTGAGTAAAATGAGTAGTGTCTTGGTCACATGCTACAACTTATTTTTAAGACCACTCTTCTAGGTCTTAACGTTTCCCTGATGTTGACATTTTATATAGGAAAAATTATAACCTAAAATTCAGTTCAACATTTTAAACAAAATGGTATGAGATGTAAGATTTGGGTTATAAATCAATCCAGTGAAGACCAGAACCAAGTTTTAAAAAGCGCTGGAGCATTAGCGGCATATAAAGCAGCCAAGTTGGTCAGAAAACAGCCTTTTGGAAATTGGGAACTGAGGACAGTTTAACTATTTTTCAGTAACCTAACAAAAAAAAAAATAGGAGAAACCAAAACATCTGAAGAACAAACTAGGATCAAGACCCATGGAATGGCAAGGGTCAAAGGAGGAGTCCTGTTACCTCTGAATAAACTTGTCCACTTTGCCTCGTATCACCAATGTGTGCAGACTAGAAATGCAGATTAGGGGTTCAAAACATCTGAACAGACTAGCGATAAGATGTACTCTTAGGTTGGTTTTAAAACTGCAGGGTTTGATTTTGTGGGTGATTAGAATGCTGAAATGGATTAGAAAATCACAGTACACCACTGCAGTAGTTGTTTTGTGATAAATTTTACAGTGCAGTAGACGTGTAGATACACATGTAGAAGTCTATCTGGTCATGATGTAAATTATTTTCCTGCTGGTAATAAAGTTTAAAAACCTTGAAATAGGATATTTCTGAGATAGCCGTCAGTAGGAGCAAGGAAGTTCGGGGCAAGTTTATAGACTCCTTTAGATCAGGTCTTTAGAGGCAGAGTGGCAGTTTACCAAAGGAAAGTTTTTGATTTGGTTGATGAGAGGCAGTGTGTTAATAGAATGGCCAAAATATGAGGTGCACAGGGTCTGGGTAGTGAAGGAATGTCCAGCTAGGCCCAGGAAGCAGCCTAACTGTAAAAACACTGTCCATCTGATCCACACAGCTATGGACTTAGACAATTTGGGACTACTACAGATCAAGCCCAAGAATTTACAGAGCTCAGCAGGATTTCAACCTCTTAAACCAAGAATGTCCAAGAGGAACCAAGGTCTTGATAGAATTTATTCCCAGGGAAACCTAAACTTTGCCACCAGTGACAGTGGGATTTGTTCTTACAACAATGGCACTTCTCCGCTGGCTCTTGGCTCATAACCCCTCCAGAACTCCTTCCTCTTCCTAAAGATCTGGGGCAGTGTCCATACAGCTAGCTTAAACTTAGAAGGCAGTGAAACCACATCACCTACCCATACGCAATGGTAGAGTGGCCAAGTAAACCCTCTTTCTCTCCATCCCCCATCCATTCTTAGGTTCTCCTGCTGACCTCAGGACCCCTAAATGCATCAGGGGGGCCAAAGTAGGGAAGCTGAGCTTTGGTTCGGGGAAATGGTGACCACTGGACCTGATGAAGAGTGATTTGCCTGATAATCCTTTTTATTTCCCATTTATGTATAACTCAAATTATCTGTTCTTCTGCACTGAGTTCAAGCAAGTTACTTTTGATGGGACAACTCATTTGGGACTTGGAGGCTGCTTTTTTCCAGAACCTGTTAAGAGAGCAGAGGATTTATATTAATGCTAAGCAACAGACCATGTGCCTTAAAAAGATGGTCTAAAACTGCATTTTAATTTGTTACATTATTTTGAAACTAAAAAACAATTTTAAAGCAAAGACCAGAGTTTTAATGTACCTGGAGAAAGGAGTTTAAAATGCTGAGGGATGCTATCCTATCACACTCAAGAGGGAGGCAATAAGGTAACCCAATATAAGGCTAAAAATTGATAATGGAAGAAAAATAATGATTTGCTTCACATGATCAAGTCCAAAGTGGCAGAGATTTAGAATTTAAATGAAACATGCTAAAGTGAGTGGCCCTGCCCTCTGCCCAGGGCTATATCCACCTTCTCCCAATCTTGTTCCTTTGGATTCTACCTCCTTGAAGAACTGAGAACCCAAGTAAAGGCCCTTTTCACTTGAAGCATTGCCGAGTTTTACTAGGCACAAGAAAATCCAGGCCAGGCCAAGAATCCCCTTTCAACATACTGGTTTTCCAATATGCAGTGGAGGTAAGGAGGTTTGCTAATGGAACTACTAAAATTTGAAAGCCAGTGGTCTTATTTTGATTTGCAGACCTAAAATAAACCAATCAGTATTCCTAGGAGTTCAGATAATCCCATCTGATGAGAGTTATTTCTGGGCTCCTAGAGAAATTTAGATTTCCTTGTAATTGGTAGTATTTTACCTACTGTATAAATTACAAACACCTTTACTATGACAAACAGGTAAGTCAGCTTTACAAGTTAATGTATTTTGCAATTTCATGCCATTCCAAAGGGGAAGGAAGGCTGAATTTGAGAACAGCCTCATTATCCTCTGGTAAAAATCAGCTCACTGTAACTGCAGAAATTAAGAATCTGCTTAGGAGGAACATAATGAATAGCATTATCAACCAAGGCCAAAATGGGACCAAAATATCCGCAAACCAAAGGGCAAGTGCCATGCAAACTTAATGTAACAGTCCAAATTCAGGGTCTGGCATTCACCCACAGAAATATAAAAATTCATCTCTCCTTCCTCCTCGATGATTTGCAGATACTTTGCTCAGAATAAAAGTGCCTCCTCAGTCTGTGAACACATAAACCCCAACAAAAAATAATTACGAAAAAATTTTTGACAGTGTTGTCGGAATAAAAAATCAAAAGGTAGGGGTTAATGTTTACCCAGTATGGCAGTCGTCTCAAGCTTCAGAGATGTGAACTAAGTTCTCTGGGTTTTATGGCAATCCAGTTTAAATATACCACAAAATTATTCAATCCTTTTTAAGATTCCAGACTCACCACCCCCACTTCAAAAAAGACATATTCAGTCCAAGTACCAGAAAGGAACAAGGTCAATTACCAGTGTTTCAGAACTGAGAACTGTGACCTGTTTTGAGGACTGCTGAAATTAATTTGTGAGTAGAAAAGAAACTGACTTATTAATAGGGAACAGACCAGAAAACAGTACATCACCTGTAGAAAGGGGCTAATAAGCAGTGGTTTGAAAAGTGTTTCATGTACATATACGGGTGTGTATATATTGGGTCCCAAGAGAAAAGACAACTTTTTCTTGTAGCAACTTAAAAGTTTCAGGTACATACTATTTCTGGTGCCTTGTAATCACCAGAATGCCATGTCTCCCATTGTAAATATATTGGCATTTTGGCTTGTACGTCAGTCTTGAGTTTGACCAAACTTGAGTTTGAGTAGGACTCCGTTCACCAGAACCTTCAAAGCCAAAAACACAGACCTTGCACTTTTGGAACCCAATTCACGGCCTGGAAACTGAGTGCCCAGGACTTCCTACTTCTGCTGTTGCCGCTTCTCAAGAAAGTTTTCTGCACATACAACAAACAAGAAATGGCACTTCTTGAAAAGGGATAAGCTGCTCAGTTTTCATCTTTTTGTTTTATTCAGTTTGCTCCAAGGGCAAAATCAATAGTAATAGGGATCACAAACATTATTTTTGAATGGCTCACGAGCCTGATCAGTAAAACCTGAAAAACAGAAAATGTTACACAAGTTGCAAAGAAATCACTCCTGGAGTTCACTGACATGATAGCAAGTGGAAATAATATAAATGCAACAGGTGTTAACATTTAGAACAGTACTTATAACCTGCTCCTTTCTAGACAATTCTGGGACCCTGTTGCAAACCCTTCATATATCGCTGATTCCCATTCACGTAAAATAAGACTTTACAAAACTCTTCCTAGACCTTACTCTTGCTGCACTTGAGTGGTTCCTATTCCTACGGCGCTGGCGTATGCTGTCAGGATTTCCACTATCTGTTTGGTTTCTAGGGTCATTCGGGCCTCCTTCAGCCAGTCCTGGGCCACTCGTCGGGACTCCCCTTTCAGCTGGTTGACAAACTTTGCTGCCAGCTCCAGATCACCATGCTCAATGCAATAGGAGGCATAGGACAGTAATTTAAATGTGTTTATGTCCTCAGGGCAGAGCTCCGCTGGTGGCTTCAGTTGCTGAGGTGGGAATAAGAGCAAGGACTGCAAGTAGGAGAGGAAGTACTGGTATAAGCTATTTCTGGTTTCATCAATCATTGCTACCCTTCGGGCCAGTTTTTGAACAGCATAGAAACGGACTCTAAGGGTCTCTTCGCTGTACACCCCACGGGTCAGGGACTCTGGAGGGATGGCTGCAGTTAAAGCTTGGGCAAATTCACTATCAGAACAGTTGACTCTGATGGCCTCAACTGCACTACCCAGTGGAACAGTGGGCAGGTCTGCAGACGCAGTCTTCATGCTGTACTTTAATGCCTCCACCGAGAGCCACAGTTGGTGGGCTTTTCTGGCCTCCTCCTCAGCAACTGCGTGACCTACAAAGAAAAAACAGGCAAAGAAACACATTTTTCTCTCCATCTGACTAAATGTCCTTCCCATACCTGCAGAGAACTGATGTAGATGTACCTGCACCCTCAACAGGCTAAATCCACACGGTAAATGATAGGGCCAGAGAGAGCCTTTTCCAACCCCACCTGACACTTATTTCTGGCATGTTCTTTCCGAGGAAGTCGGCCTCTTCATGAGGCAACATGGTAAACCTAACTTTTTAGTCAAGCCATGGAGAAAACTGGAAGGATGTATGTGCACAAGCACAAGAGTCTCTTTCCCCTCTTACTGTGACATCCAGAAAAACACACAGTATCTGATTCAAGGATAATTATTTTAGAATGTTTGAGGGAAAAAAACATTTAAATTAGGCTAAGACTATGCTAAGGCCATCAGAAACTTCCTGCAAAGAATGGAAGACTTCGAGTAAACCTAATGGACTACGTGATCTTGAATCTTGCAACTTCCTAGGTGTTTATTTTTATACTTATCTGACAAAAATGGCTCTATAACACCCCCCAAAAAAACCCATTTTATCAACATTCTGTCAGAACATTTCCCTTTCAGTGTGCCACGCTGAAGCCTCAGAATAACTACTGTCCGTTTGGTGGGTGGAATCAGCAAATAACCACTTCCAGACAGGGCTGGACAGCAAGCGTGGGGATACACTGACCTTTTGCTCCACTCAGGGCACGTAAGACATAACCAAAGTGTGCTGGGTAACCTGCCTCGTAAACGGCGATCTCCAGTCTGACACACACACAGTAAATCTTCAAGTATTTAGATTTAATTTTTAGATTCTTTTTAATTTCCTCTCATAAACACCCTATGTTCCAAACTTACCAAATCTGGGCTGATTTTCTCAGAAATGAATAAAATTTAATAGAATGACTTCACAGCATCTTTATGTCCTAATGCTGACGCATGTAACCCATTATCCTAACGAAGAAGTTGGAATGAATAAAATGTAAGAGGCCCG